GACGGGCCGGACATTTTCTGATGACAGCGAAAAGAATCAAACAATTAAGTCACTAGACAGGTGTACTTAATCATGTGGCAGGTGAGTGAACACAGCTTTGTATTAAACAGTTTTTATTTTGACAGGAAGCCCCTCAGTGATGAGCTTTCTGTCAGTGTCACTGCTCCTTTAGTAGGTGAGTTGCAGATGGATCTCACTGCTTTATACAATGAAACAGCAGCCAGTTAAATAAGATTAGTTAACTACAAACTCTGTTTTGGAAGAAAAAAAGTTTCAAGAAAATGTAAAACGAAACCATAAATAAATGGACAAAAAAACCCTGTAAAAGCAGAGGAATGTGGGTTTGAGGGAGGGACCACAACAAGAAGCGAAAGTTAGAAGTTCCTGGTTTGCAAACGGAGAAGAAAGAGAAGCAGCATTAACCATTAAGCCGTCAGAACCTGGAGATGAAACTCTGTCACATTTTGTTCTGCTTCATCTTCCTCTGTGAGTAAATTCTTCTTATTTCTTATTTATAAAGATGTTTGCAGGTTTTGCACTGCATCAGAAATAGTGCTGAAAGAAGAAGCTGAGGTTGTCTGTGAGTCAATGCCCACCACTGTTCTCACAGAGCAGATAAAAGCCTGCATTCAAACTGGTAAAGGTTTAACAGTCAACGGAAATGACAGAATTACAGCGTAGTTTGTTGAGATGAAGACATACTCCGCCTCCTCGAGTTGACAGGTGTGCCAAGGTAAGTATCCCCGTCAGAATTTGTTTCCCTTACGTCGGAGCATTCGGTGTGGACGGAGAGCGGATGCAATTGACTCCGCCTCCATTACATTACCGTTTAGTTTGTTGGATGATTTCAATAAACCAAGGATATTTTGACTGATAATTATTTGTATCCTTCTCTAACTGTACTGTATAAAGAGCTAAAACGTCCAAAATTTCAGAAATAATAAGTCATTGTTAGAGGTGTTTGTGATCTAAAAGCCCAGTGCGCGCTCCCGACGCAGGGGAAACAAATTCTGTCGGGGATACCGACCTTGACACGTCACCTGGTTAGCAGCTGCTTTCAGACCGACAGCAGCTCGTTTGTGTTCAGAGTGCTGCTTCCTTCTTTTCCAAACCACTAAACCACATTTAGAGCTTGTAAGGAAACAACCTTATCATTGAGTTCAGGAGGAACAGCACAGCTTTAATGTTAACGGAATGAAAACTCTGAATATTAAGTAACTATTTCAAAAACCTCAAAGCAGATCAAGATCTTAATACAAACAAATAAGAGGTCAGTTTTCAAGCTTTTACCTGAGCTGTTCTTCAGCAGATGGCTTGTACCGATGTCATGAAGAACCAGGATGATTTTGTTCAAATGAAAAATACAAAGAGAGTGAATTTAAATGAACTATTTTAAATTGTTTTGTTGAATTAGAGAGAATAATTATCTGTTTCAGTTTAATTTAATGCAATATTTAAAATCAAATGCAGTGTTTACAGGAAGTTGGTAACTTCCTGTAAATATTTTCTACAGACCTGCAGGATGGAAACACTGGACTTGCCAACGCTGAAACTCTCGTCTATGAAGGAGTGGAAGGAGGAAACATCACAGTCGAATGTAAATTTTATTTCCCAGGAAGTACGACATTGTTCTGCAAAGACAAATGTGAAAAAGGAAACGTTCTCATTGAAACAACTGATTACACAGCTCAGAGCGGCAGATACAGCATTACACTTGTAAAAAAGAATCTACCGTCAAAGGATATTGTACACGTGAGCATCACACAGCTGAACAAGTCTGATTCAGGATGGTACAGGTGCACACTGGACAGAAGTTTACAACCATGTGATTTTCAGCTTGTCATCACAGGAGGTGAGTAAAAAAATGTATTCATGTCCCTGAAGATGTGAACTTCTCACTGACCACAGTTACTTTTCTTTCAATAACCTACATGTGTCATATTTACACTACACGTTTAGTTCAATGAGTTGTGCTGTAAGAACATATTAACCTCTATTACTCACATGCAGACAGAAAACCTGCTCCAAGCAGGATTGTTATTATTCAGATTTTTCCTTGTTCACAGCTTCAGACACTCCAACACCTCATCAGCCTTTATCAACATCAACGTTTCTCCTGTCGGCCTCCACAACAACAACAGCAACAACACAGCATGTGAACGTCAGTTCAGGAAGCTTCACATCTTCATCAGCCTCCTCTGAAATCTCCAGACAGCCTCAAACAGCTGCAGGTTCAGGTACATCGTATCTGCATGTGTGTGTGGGTGTGAGTGTGAGTGTGGATCCGTCACTGTGTTTATCACAAAAATACAAACCTCATTCATATTTATTAATGACACACCAGCAGATGTGGAAGAAGGGGTCTGATTTATTCCTATAAGTATGAATAGAAACAGACACATTGGAGAAATACACAACTCAGAAGTAAAAGATAAAAGTATTTAAATTAAAATAGATTTAAAGTATCAAAAGTAAAAATTCCACATTCGCTGCAGGATGAGGTATATTATTTTTGTTTATTTAAACATTTTTCTTGTTATTCCATCTTATTGTACCCTCATTATAGTTTGAACGGAATTTATATAATTCTTTATTTGAGTATGTTTTGTAATATTAAGCTACAGAAGTGAAGTTATAAAATAAATGTACTGCAGTAAAGATCAGACACGGGGTGCCATTTACATAAAAAGGGAAAGACCAACTCTGAATCGAGGAGGGGGCCTAAGGGTACATCTGTCACCATCTTACAATGCTGTGATTGCAGCCATTGCCAACTCTCTGTGAATGGTACTCATGGCCATTGATCAGTGGTTGTTGATCAATGGTCAATGGGCTTTTATCAATGGGCATTCAGTGGTGCTAGTTTCAGTCATTGTGCAAATGTATTGTTTATAAGATTGGGGAATCTTATTTCAAAAATGTATTTATTACATATCACATATTTAGAGTGTAACAATATAAAATCTGTTCTATTACGTTGCAGATAAGCTGCTTCATGTGACTCTGATTCTGGTCGCTATGATCACCATCTTATCAGCAGCTTTGCTGATTTTCTACAAAAACAGGAAGAATAAACCAAAAGGTGAGCCTGTAGTAAACAAATTCATCTCTTCAGTCCACAACATGATGCAGGTTCATTTCCTGGAGATTAACCCTTAACTTAATGTTAAGCCAAACCTTTATAATATATTGTGTAATATTTATTATGGGGACTTTTTATTGCAAAATGTGAAAGTGTAAATAACTTTATGCTTTAATAATAAAAGTAACAATAAAATCTGAAAGGAATTGAAAGCACTGTGACACAGTTATTGGTTGCAGTTTATTTCAAATCAATCATTGTTTAATCTCTTCACTACTTTTTTCCTCACACTGTTCAGTTCTTTGGGTTCTGTTACTGTGTGACTTAATGTGACATAAATACAGATGTTTAATGTTTGCATGTTTTTCAGGATCTTCTATGAAAACTGAACATGCTGACATCACACAGGTGGGTTTTAGGAGTTATGAGTGACCTGAGCTTCATTACTACTTGATTAGGATCAATCAGCCAGTTTGTTCTCTTTCTCCAGGCCAACTGGCTTTATGGAAACATCACAGAGGATGAAGCTCAGAACCGTGTAACTCCTGTGCGGGTGTCTTCAGTTTATGACTACCCCGAAGGCTCGCAACCAGATGGAGTTGAAAACCAAGAGCTCTACAGCCTCGTCACCGCTCCTCAGAACACAGTAAATAGAATCATGGTTTGAATTTAAACTCTGGCATCAGAAACAATGATCGGTGCAACGTTTTGGGCAGTAAAGTAATTCACTAGCTGTCTTGATCGATCTGTTATACTGTCTCTTATATTATAGTGATTTACTACATGCAAAAAGTTGCTGTTTGATTCCAGGCAGAAACAGAAATTGCTTCAGGAAGAGCAGCAGATGTAAAACTAAATCAAAACTCTAAAAAACTCTAAATCAAACCATGCAGAGCTGCCAGCTGTGGTGAAGCCTTGTGACAAATCAGCAGCAGAAATGACCAATGACAGTTAAACAGTGCAGTGATGGATCTTTTGTTAAAACAGCAGAGTGGAAGCTCACAGGCTTGTGCTGGTATCAGTTTCTGTAGCATAAGTAAAATCGATTTCTATTTTAAATCACTCTTACTTTATCAACAAGATGAAGGTAAACTTTTTTTAAGAGTTCACAAATTTTGTCTATTTTTTAACCTACATGTACAAAAATTATCTTCTGTCTGGTAGTATCTCTAAATGTTCATGTAATTACAAATTCATTTTTAAGATTCTGAAGCTTGATGTCACCTTTTTATTTCAGGCTACAGATGACATGAATGATGCTGATTACACTGAAGTGGATTTTTCCCACATTCCTTCCTCCAATAGCGCCCCCTGTGGTAATATATGTGACACTGTCTACTGTACACCTGCGATTTATGCCAATCACCCCAACGTTGGTTCACCTCCTCTGTACTCTACTGTTGAAATACATTAGATCTAATGCTGTGGATGGCACCTCAGTAGTCAGCAGGTGAACATAATTAGCCTTGGATAAATGCAATGTTTTATGATAGTTACTCATTATTTAGCTTAAAAGATAACTAATTCACTTTTTTTTTCAAACTATGGTATTTCCCAATAATGTTATTGTCATAATTGACAGACAATTACATAAAATCATAATATTAGTGCTAGCTGGCGTTAGCCAGTACAATTCCGGCCACCTTTTTGTTCAAATATGGCCACTTGTGTTTACAGAAAAGAGAATAATGCATCATTAAAGACCTCAAAAAGCTGGTCCAACTTTTTATTTAAAAAAAATACTCTCTGTGAAGTTGTCTCTGTCTGTTACTCGATATAAATGGTAAATGGCCTGTATTTGTATAGCGCTTTACTAGTCCCTAAGGACCCCAAAGCACTTTACATATCCAGTCATCCACCCATTCACACACTGGTGATGGCA